AGAAAAGGTGGCGGAACTCAAACCTGGCCACGCCCTCATCAAACCCTAGGACCGCCCCTTTAGAGAACAGGAATGCAAGTAAAATTTGGGAGGGGCTATTTCCGGTGTGGGAGGGGCTATTTCCGGTGCGGCCGGCCCGGAAAAAGGTGCCGGAACGCGGTTCCGCCGCGTTCCGGCTGAAAAAAAGCCCTGGTTACTAATCCCGGTTATGATTGCTAAACAAGGATTACTGTTCTTTCATTGCCATTCTAGAATTGAGAAATAAATCTTTGTCACATTATATATCACAAAAAATCCACAGCATTTGATCACTCTAGTCCATAACTGGCTCAGGAATTCTGGGAGTTGAAGTCCACGAGTCATAAAAGAGCCAAGGTTGCCTACCCCTGCTCTAGTCTAACCCTAGGTCTTTACTTGGACTTGTAGACTTAAAGTTATGAGATTCAAAGGCCATGTGATTTAAATTTTAGATCTTGTAATAAAGATAATAAAACAGAGTGGGAATGTCAGATGCAAATAATATATATTTTTGAGAAAGAAAGGTGACAACACAACAGCTTAATAAACTTTTGTACAATATCCATTGCTATTCTAGAAATAGATGCAAAATACTTTAGGGTGAATCACTATTTCTTATTAGCACTCATATACTATTTACAATATTAGATGTTATTGCACTCAATAACGGGAGGCCTCTAGGCAGATTGCAAAGTGATTTAAGCAATTCAAACCAAACCAAACCAATTCATGTGTACGCATTTACATATATACATACTCCAGTAAAATGCAAAATGTGGAACAAATTAATGCATAAATGTCTGGGAGAACAGGAATGTCTTCTAATTCATCCTTACAAGACCAAATTAGTAATTACGCTCTTAAAGTTATACACTAATAAGACAACAGAGGTCGTGAACATTAAAGAAATTGTCTGAACTCTGTGAACTGCCAGGGAAATCTGTTAAAAGGTGGTTTTACACTGTATCTCCAGAACAATATAGCCTGTTTTTCATAATGTCCTTGTAGCAACCATAGCATAACCCTAACCCTTCTTTTGGCTCACTTGTCTGCCAGTGAAGATATGCCCAGCTGAGGGCATCCATAGCAAACTGAGACTACAGCAATGCATGGTGACATCAATAAGATGTCTTCCTGATATACTTGTGTCCCAGTGCCTGATGCAAAAGTATAAGTTGCAATTTCTATATCGTGAGATCACAACACATGATTTGTCACTTGCCCTCCATCCCCCCCTCTGGGTGCCCAGACACCTAGCAATAGGATTAAACAGAGTTTAATTTTAGTGGAGCTGAATTTATAGTGATTTAGCATAAATATTATTAAACTGAATTAAGAAAAAGTAGGCATTACCTAGAAGATACATTAATTTTATCTAAAATTAGTGACAACTCTATAATATTATATATATATATGCATAAATTTTATAGTGTTTACAAAATCTAAACCAACCTGTCACTTTTGACACCTGAAGCCTTTTGCCATTACAATATGACCCTTGACCTCTTCTACCAGTGTATAATCGTTCTTCAATGCAGTGATAAATTACACCAAATTCAAGCTTTAGGTTTTAAGAAAAGAAAAGGAACATGAATGCAATTTGCATTATATCAGTATAAACAAACCTCTTTTAACTGCATAAGATTGCAGTTTACACTATTTTAATTATCCCAAATATTCCTTATGATAAAAGCTACAGGAAATTAAATATATCATCCCCTTATATAATGGCTAATTTTTACATCATAGTTACTAAATGAGAAATACAAGAAATGTCTTCTGCAGAGTACTCACTGCAAGCATAATCACTTATCAGATGTGTTCCATCATCCTTCTCTTGAATTCTCCATTGCCTATCGCCTACTATCAAGACGTATCATGTGTAATTCACCCCAAAGCAATTCTCAGTTTACAGAATATGAAGGGTAATTGTGCTTCCAAAGTTTGCACGATCCAACGTTTTTGCTACCACAACATTTTTATGGCTTTCAACATTGTCTAGCAGCGAGGGTGGATGTCAGGTGAGCAAAGTGGGCAAATTGAGGTAGGGAGAAAAGGTACTGGTTATTTTTGTAGGGAAACTCAGTTCAATGGATTGCCTGTTCTAAAGGAAAAGCATAAAAGCCACATACTGGCTACCAACATTGTTTCTAGAAATCCAGACAAATATTCTACTACAGTAACATGAGACGATAGAGAATACAGAGAGCTATTAATCCTGTGATTTAACTGAGGAGACAGCACTGCTAGTCTATGATTGCAATAAACCGATTTGATTCATTGATTGGTCATTTGCTTAAACACTATGCCACTCCTAAATGCATAAACTTTGCAAGTGTATCTCACAGATTGCAATTTAGTGTAAGGAGAAAGGTTTAGATTAAGGAGTACTTCTGTAACTGTTTCTTTGCAACAGTGTTCTGCATGGCTAGAACACATATATATTTTACTATCCAAAACATTTTTAGTAAAGAGAAAAATCATTTATATTTTTTTATGTAAAAACATCAAAAGGATGGTTTGAATATTATAAGTAGGTTTATGCACTGAAATCTATATTTCCACAAATATCACAAAATAAATGGGAAAAATGTTGTATAAGATTTATTCAGGTGTATTTATTAAATTTGGGGTTTTTTTCATTTTTTAACAGCTGCCACTAGCGCCTATCAAACTTACAGAACATTATTTTATACCTCTTGGTTGACAGCAAATCCAATGCTAACAGCTACAGTTGGAAACCTGTGTAAATAAATACATTATATTTGTTAATAAATTTTCTGAACAATGACTTTTACCATATCAACATTGTGATAGTGTTTGTTCATTGGTTCTCAGGTAAGAAATCTTACTTTTTTTATATTTAGAGATAAAATTCTAAATTTTTCCTAAAATTTTAATTGTTGGAAAACTGATTTGCATTCTGACCCTAGAGGACAGTTTTATGACTTTTCCAATGATTAATTATCTGATTCTCAGAAAGTTCCCCATTCTTTAAATCTTAAGAATCTACGCAACCAATTAGCTGTTGCTCCTATTCCCTGCTGCCATCAACGGATATTGTCACACCAGAAATAGACTAAGAGAGAGGAGCAGCTGCTTTTCTAAAATAAATGTTAGAGTTCAAAAGTAATTTTCTAACAACTGCTGCCACCTTATAACTTGAGAACATAAATATTATTTTTCCTTCCGTAACTTTCAGCCCAATTTCCCAAATCATTTCATCATGCAGCATTGGGTAAAAAATAGGCCTTCTAATACATTCCATTATGAAGTATTTTATGAACCAAAGATTGCAGACTAATGAAAATTCCCTCCAAAAGAAAATAGGATTCAAGATGATCCAGAATATGACAACTTAATACTCAACAGACTAATTTGTTAAAAGAAAAGCAATTACTGAAGTAGGTCAAATTAATGATCTGATTTTTGCTGTTTGATAGTTGTATATATAATTTATTTTACAAATAAATTTGATACAATCCTGTGCACAAATTTGCTTGGTGCAAAACAGGCACTGGATGAGTTGTAAGCTCCGTGTCAGGCCCAAAACCAAGAATGACACATAGTGATCCTTCCAAGGTGAGTTCTTTATTGTTTCCCACCTATAGACAAAATCTTGCCAGACTGAGCATTTTACTGTTTGCATGCACAATATACTCTGTAGCTATTATGGAGGGGGCTGTCTTTAGCCTCTTTCTCCTCCACATGATATGTCAACTGTGTTGCCTCTTGCTTCTCCGGAATGTAGCCTTTCCTCCTGGGAATCAATCTCCTTCTACATTTTATCACACTCTATGAAACTAGAAGGGATTCAACACGCACAGAAATTCAATTGATACATCGCGCATTTAAAGATGCTTGACAATCTGTCTTGTGTCATTTGACACAAGGTTTTCACTGTGTCTTTACCTATGTACGAAATTGCAAGTGCCATCAACAGGATCAATAATCCAGGTTGGACTGTCATTGAGTATGCACTTTGAACCAGCAGCAGTAGCTTCTTCCGCAATAAACCTAACATTGGTATAGACAAGACTCAAATAAAAAAACTTTGAATTAAAGGTGCATTTGAAGCAGTTGCAGATGTATTGTTTAATAAAATAGGTTCCAACCTGAACAGCATACTAGGAATTGGCATAAAAACTTTCTCTGTTACATATATCTTTAAATGAAAGAAACTTAAAACATCGTGATCAAAAGATCTCAAGAAGGCTTAAGGGACAAAGTTTTTATACACATGCCAACATGAATGAGAAATCTACATATTTCATGCAAAAATGCAATGACTGCTTCTTCATCTTTCTCTGCAACATTCCTCTTTTGAATGACAGCCAGAAGAACATTTACAAAGTGTATAAAACACAGGCTTTTTCTTTGAACTATGTACAGTTCATTTATTTTTACAAATTAAAGCAAAATTAGCTCTTGTTTCCTCTGGTAGAATATGTTGGAGGGAGAGCTTTCAGGTTATGAATAAAAAGCAGTTTCCTGCAGCTCTTCAGAAATTTATAAGATTGTAGTCCCAGCCCATCCCTCTTGTAAACAATAATTAAAAAACAAAAACAAAACATTAATAATTGCCCAAAAAAAGTCTAGATTGTAACCATCTATAACTGGAATCTTAAAGGAAACCTTAAAGCTGGATTTAAGACAACAAAGACTAGAGAATTAAAACAAAAACGACACAATAGAAATTGGCAAACATTCATTTTAGAATAGTCTGAAAATGTCTCTGTGCCCCTAGCTCAAACTAAAATAGGTAATACTCTTATAAAGAGATATATTTTTACTATACTTTGCAAGTGTATGAAAAACTTTACAATCTCTGTTATGCTTTGGAAAATAGTATTCTTGCCACTATTTCCTCTAAATGTTCTCAAAAGGTGTTATAAGGTTAATCATATACACAGCTATTACATAATATAATTTAAGTGTAATGAAAGAGCTAAGACCAAGAAATAACAGTCTCAAATCCCCACTTATCTATTAAGCTCATGGAATGTAGAACTTGGACCAAGAGACTTTAAAATGAAGTCAAATGTATTTATTGAGCACATATTTATAAAGTTAGTTACTATAAATATAGCTCAATGTTTTTCAAATTTCACAATTTTAAGGGGTGTGGAATTCTAACCCTGTTAATAATTCTCCTTCAAATTTTCAAACTTAAAAAAGCAAAAATGAAACTGTTGGAAAATGTGACTCTTCTAATTGTTTACCTCCACTCCTCCTGGCTCTGCTTTCATCTGATGAAGTTCTACGGACAAAAAAATTTGGTCTCTACAAATTTCCTAACACAGGGGTTCCCCAACCGTGGTAACTTTAAGACCTGTGGACTTCAACTGCCAGAATTCCCCAGCCAGCAGATTTTAAAGTTGCCAAGGTTGGGGACCCCTGTCCTAGCATACTGGTTCACTCAAGAGACATTTGTAGCAGAAAAAATCAAACAGTCAATTGCTGACAAGAATGGTAGCTGAAAATCCACTTCTAGGTATAGCTTTTCAAATCTTCTGCCATAACCTGGAGAAATCTTTCATCTATCTATGGCAATGTTTTTCAAACTTGGCAACTTTAAGATGTACAGATTTCAAATCCCAGAATTCCCCAACCAGCATGCTCAGATGAAAGCAGAGCAGTAGAGATAGAGCTGTTGAAAAAGCCACATTATTCAACCATTTCATTTTTGCTTAATTTATGTTTGAAAATTTGAAGCAGAGTTAATCACAAGGATTAGAATCCTGGCTAAAATGAGCAAACTTGTTCATACAACAGAAGCAGCTTAAAAGCACTCAAATAAAAGAAAAATAAACTAAGCTAACAAACCATTTGTGCAAACCACCTTAACCATAATATTATCATCCAGGTTCAGAGAGTGCATGCAACCAAATTCCATTGGGGCGCAGTATGTTTAAGAACCAGATCATTATGTGGCAACGTAACACAACCAAGACTATATCTGGTTATTGCCAATCTATACTCTCCAGAAAGTTTCTGCATGTGGAACATGCTTGTTTCATTGAAATGAAACATCTGTTCACCTAATTATAATTTTCATTCATTCAAAAATTACCAGTAGAATAATGTCATGGCCAAACATACCTGTGAGAGGGAAACTTTTCTTTCAGTGCAGAAACAATTAAATTTTCCACCAAGTGGTCAGTTTCAGTCACAAGATCTGCAGCAGATGTTTTGGTAGATACCTGCTTTTCCTCAGTGAGAGCTTTTCTAATAATCTAGAAAGAAAATATTATACATTGTTTTACAGATTTTTCCCATTATTTCTGAAAAACTGCATTAAATTCTCAATGGAAATAAGCGATATAATTCTTTGTTATGCACACAATAACTTCTAAAATGATATCACATGTAAAGTACAGTATTTTATTCCAGAAGATGCTGGTGCTGATTAACATAATTATCATATTTTTCTGTTAAATTTTCTTCAATAATGGCTGCTGTTTAGATGCCATATTTTTGCCTCAAAATTAGGACACTAACACTTTGTCACTGTATAAATGTATAGATTATGAATTCAGTAACTGCTATATTAGCATTTCAATCGCACGTTGTTTTTAACAAAAGCTATCAGAAGAAAATATTTTGCACACTATCACAACTACATAAAATGGACTGCTTTTGACTTAGTTAAACTGAGTTGAAATAAGTTAAACTGGTTAAATTAAGATTGAACTGAGTCCAGAATTTGGTCCTTAATGAGTGTATAGTGACATGCTATAATTTTATACAGTCTGTACCATGGAAATTGTTACTATAAAAACAATTTTGGTTTCTGCTAAAACTATTATATATACAATTTTCTAGAGGCTAGAAAAATGGGCCAAACAGGATATACATGATACAAAAATATAAAACCTATAATTTCTTCATAGTTTGCTTCTCCTTATATTGCCAAATATTATCTTTTAATTCTTTGCACTTTCTTTCAGAGTAAAATATTAATTGAGGCAAAAATGACCATTGCACAGTATCCAAAAATGACTTACAATACAAATTCCATTCTAAAGGCATGTAAGTAGAAATATTTTTAAAGTAAACTCAAGGGAAACGGAAGGTCTTTAAAAGAGCAAGGAGAAGCTAAGCATGACTGAAAGCATCTGTTATTTCACAGGAATGTAAAGAAAGTGCTGGAGCTGTAATCTTTATTTAAAATCCTTATTTGAAAAAATCCTACAAACATACAGATATTTACTTGACACAGTGATATTCCCGGCATAAACAAGGCATATTTATTTATGACATTCTGGATTCTTGGCCATTTACATAAAAGCATAAATATAGTTTCAATATTCAGTAAAAGTAAACCCACTCCCAATTTGAGATTTCGAAATAGGATAATCTTAAGTGCCCTCCGAAAGGCTGTCAGGGAAGTTATGGCTGGGAACCTCTGTGCTAACACTGGGACATATTCAGAGAAGCATTATACTCTTGCCTATCTTAAGTAGGTGATCCTGCAGCTGCCTTAAAACCATACAATAAAGGGTTAACACCAGCTACCCAGAAAGGAACAGAGGCATTATAAAACAGTGCCTCCATCTCCCAGCTCTCTTAAATGGTCCAGAAGAATACAGTGGTTGATGGTACTGAAGGTTATTGTGTGACCTGAAAGAACCAGGATGGGTACACTCCTCACTTTGAGATCATGATGTAATTCATCTCTCAGACTAATATGGTATCTGTGCCATGCCCAGGTCAAAATCTTGATTAGGGTCTGGATTATCCTCTTCTACCACGCTCTCAGCAACGTGAAAAGAGGAACTAGAGCCACGATTGGTTGGATCTAGGAGGGGCCTCTTCAGGAAAGAGTACACCATTGTCAGGATAAAGGACATAATCACATTGTTCAATAAGACATGGACTACTGAACCCCATGCATCCTCCTATGCTTTCTAAACAGCCAAATGGAACATGGACTAGGTTACATGTGGTAGATCAGGCATGTCCAACCAGTGGTCCTGGATAGCGAGTAATGTGGCTCCAAGATAGTAAAAATATTAAAAATAAAGGAAGTTTGTTATTTATATTTATATACATTAAATATATATATTATAAACGGCCCAAGACAATTCCTCTTCACTCAGCGTGGCCCAGGAAGCCAAAAGGTTGGACAATCATGTGGTGGACCATTTTCCACAGATATACTTCTATATACTTCTTCAGAATTAAGAAGCTGAAATGAATCTTAAGTTACCCTCACAAGAGCTAATCCAATCACGACCCATCCTGTGCAGAGTCCAGACCAGAGGGAATTTAAGCAGTTTTATGTATGAAATCCTGCCCTGGAATCTCACGTAGCTTTCAGAGAGAGCTTCTGCTTTGTGCCCCTCAAAATGATGCAAGTAACTGTAAAGAGGGCTGTAGAGGCACCATCTGTAATCACAATAAGAAGCATTACTTTGCCATCCTTTTGCCATCAAGTATGAACAGTTACTTGTATCTAGTCCCATCTGCTTTTGTTTTTTATCCACTAGTACTCTAGGTATCTCTTCTGCCACCTTGTCCCTTGGAACTAGCACGCAGGAATAGTCCAGGATGGGCAGGATTTCATACATAAAATATGGAATTAGCGACTAGTTGGAGGTGATTTCATCAAGTGTTCTGGTTACTTCAATATTCCAAAAATTGCTCAGGCACTCAAAACGGCCACTTACCAGGTTATTCAGAATAATCCTAAATGCTCTCTGAAATACATTTAAATTCATTAGGTGCTGGACCAGATTATCCAAATACTGCAGGTCCTTCCATCCTACAGAGCCTCTCGACAGTGACGACACTCATAACAAACAGGGAGCAATCTAACTACAGCAAAGATTTAATCTTTATCTTCCATTATCAGATGATATGTCAACTGCTTGTAGATGAATACCATACCTAGTACAACACCAAGACTGCCTAGAGCAGTGGTGGCGAACCTATGGCACGGGTGCCAGAGCCGGTACTTGGAACCCTCTCTGTGGGCATACGTGCTGTTGCCCCAGCCTTGCCTCCCGCATGACCCCCCTCCTCACCAGCAGGCCCCCTGGCGAGAGTCACCCGCCGAGCGTGGCCCACGCGGAGCAGTGCAGCCAAGGACATGGCAACCAGACAGAGCAGACAAGACTCTGCCCTCACGCCCCATCATGCACAGTTAATGCTGCAGGGTGTGGGAAGAGGGCATGGTCACCATGGCGCTGCTGGGCGATCTGCAGGCAGTGAGTGGCCCTGTGGGCAGGCAGGGTGGGGGCGGGGCCAGTTTTTGGGCACTCGATCTCTAAAAGGTTTGCCATCACTGGCCTAGAATTACCATGAAGTTCATGGAATCTTCCTTCAGGGCACTGTTTCTCAACCTTGACAATTTTAAGGCATGTGGACTTCAACTCCCAGAATTCCACAGCCAGCAATGCTGGCTGTGGAATTCTGGGAGTTGAAGTCCACATGCCTTAAAATTGTCAAGGTTGAGAAACACTGCTTCAGGGTATGGAGGGCTGAAGTCTCCCAAATGAAAAGCAATGAGCTTTCTACCTCCTGCTCTCCAATGAGCTCTAAGAGCTCACAAAAACACTCTGCTGTGCAACAAAGTGTTCAGCACACAAGCAAAGCTCCTAATTTGCCCAAAATCACAAATAGGCATGCACAACTTGTCCCTTCCAGACCAAACCCTTTGGTCACTATTAATACCAGACAATCATTGCTACCCAAATCACCTAATATTGGATCGCTTGCTAATGCAGGACCCGAAACATAGCAGAGCAGATTTCCAAGAGGGCAATATCACAACTCGCTGTCAACCCCAGGTCCCAATACTGTATACCTAGTATCAGGTATACATGCTCATCCACAACCAAACTGTGGAGAAATATGTTCTTATTCTGTATAAATTTGGCATAACTCATCAAAAAGGTTCCTGGGCTGAAGAACCTGGTCTCTTTTTAGGTACACAGTATTAAACTCAATTGAAAATATAGGAACACATGCAAAATGCGATATTCAAGTTATCCAACTGCTATTTGGAAGGCCACAAGTAAAATCCAGTTCATGGACAGTCATCATCATAATCAAAAAAACATTTTTTGTTATGTTTCAAGAGTTAAAAGAACTTGTCAGAAATATACAGGATATGCAAACCACATTTCCTTTCCTCCCTACTATTGCTACAGAAAGGTAAAGTAGCAACATAACTTAGGTTTTAGCCTCAGGCAACTACTCTAAGCATATGCTATTAATAGCAAGTAAACTTTGCCCTATAAAGCAACAAAAAAGGAGTTGCAGTAGTTGGCAACTCATCACTTTGAGAAACTAAAAGAAATGATACTGACCAGACTCTTTGACTCATGAAGTGGGTCATCTGACAGGCCCAAAGATCAAAGACATGACAAAACAAGATTTATCAAATCCACTGATAATAGGCTTTTCCTGCTAATACATGTGGGTACAAACAGTTCTGCAAAAAAACCAGCTACAACTATATTGCATGAGACTTTGAAAATCTTAGAAAGAGGCTCAAAATCCCCAGGGCTCAGTGATATTCTCATCCGTCCTTTCAGTTCATGAAAAGGACTGTAAGGGGAAACAATACTATAAATCAGTAGGGGGTATTTGATTTCCCGGACTTTTGTCTAAATCATCCAGATGACGTATTGTTGGCAGAAGATGGGTGATACTTCATTAGAACTGTAAAAATGTGTTTAACAAAAGGATGATAGATGTAAACAAAAATCCCGAAGGGCTTCATATAAAGGCTTGTACATTGTAAGAAGAATTAATGTTGCTGAAATGGGGTTTTTAAACCATTCAAAAAACAAAACAAAACAGAATGTGGAATAAACCTCATGGTCATTGTTGTCTATACATTAATGTTAAGAGCCTGGGAAATAAGACAAGCTTGGGCTCTCAGCAGAGAGAGTCAAATACGATAAAATAAGCATAACAGAGAACCACTAGGATGACTTTATCACTGTAAAGTAAAATATGTTTATTAAGTATAATAGAGACTTGGTAGGATGGCTGTATTCCTGGAACAGAGCAATAGAAGGACACAATTTGTTTGAAAGGAATAAAAGTAATAGAAAAGGAGGAATGCGCTTTGTGTTAAAAAAAACATTCTTTTTCAAAAATAACAAATAAAAGCAACAATGTGTTGGTGTTGGCTAACCCAACCCAACCCAAACTAAACAGCTACCTACTTGTAATGTTAAATGTGGATTTGTACAGAACAGGGAACTGGATGCAAGGGTATAAATATCATAATATTGTACTCCATCATTATAGGCCCCCTCTCCAATAAAATTATATGCTTTTGCAGTAGATGCTATCACTATGTAATTAGCAAAATGACTAGTTGATTTTATCTCTCCTAAGAGGTTACTGTTTACTGGACAGTTTAAACGGAAGAAAAACTAAAATAAGAAATGTTGTGGTCATTCTTATTTGGGAGAATAGAAATATTATGTCCTTTCTCAAATTTAGTGTGCCGGTGTAAAAAACTAATGTAGGAAGAAAGCACTTATAAAAACACACAGTAGAGAATTTATTATTCAAATGACTATTACTGGTTTTTATTTATTATTGCAGAGTTTCTCAGTGATCCTTATTTTTCCTTTTTAAGACATAATTTCATGCTGAATGTCAAGAGCTTAAAACCTAAAATATCAAGGTTCAGGTTCTTCATCAATCATGGAAACTCATTGGATGATACTGAACTGAAAGCTTATTTTACAGAGTTGTCATGAGGAAAACATGAGAAATTCACCATCCTATCTCCTAGAAAGATTGGATCTAGATCAAGGTTCCCTTAAAGTGATTAATATCAACACTCAAGGATTGATGGGATAACAACACAGTATTATTATTCATTGCAATGCTATTAGTTAAATTCGTATTTATTATTTTCATATAATAAATATGTGTCAATGAACAATCTGAAACTTCACGAAGGGGTGAATGAGCTGAAGAGCTCAAGACCACTCATTATAAATCTATAGAGAGAAAATATTATATTAACCCTTCAAATAATATTGTGTAAAGGTGAAAGTAAATATGCTGAGTCCACTTTGTGATTTACTTTACTTGTATAGCTGCATTTCCTACGTTCCAAACATCCAATAAAAATGAGCATCTGTACCAAACAATGACACCAAAATGATAAAATATATGTCTATACCCAAGTTTATTACAGAGCACGTTCTCCTATATGTGATCACCACATTCTTTTACATCTTATCCTAAAGCAGGGGTAGGCAACCTTGGCTCTTTTATGACTCGTGGACTTCAACTCCCAGAATTCCTGAGCCAGCTGTGCTGGCTCAGGAATTCTGGGAGTTGAAGTCCACGAGTCATAAAAGAGCCAAGGTTGCCTACCCCTGTCCTAAAGGAACATGTAGAGGCCAGGTTTCCACCCTTATTCAGGAGTAACTGAAACCTAATGAACTTGATGCGTTTGCACCCAAAATCAACATAAGGGCAACCACGCACTTCTTCTCCAACCTGCTCCCCTCCAGACACAAACCTCTGAAAAAGAGCTCAGTGCATCTGAAGGGATCCATGTTGGTGAAGGCTGGCTTGTGCATTGGTAAGTCCCAAGATCTGCACACAGCTGCAACTCAGGTTAGCAAAGAAATCTCGACATAAATCTTACAAAAGGCAGAAGGAACAAAGCGCAGTGGGGGACCTCCTTAGTTGACTGATGCCCCCAAATGGGGGGGGGGAAGGGAGAGAGAGCCAAGAAAGTTTTCCTCCAAGGATCTGCTTGCTCCCCCAGAAGGCTCCACGCGTGGCCTGAACTCGAAGCCCCCTTCTGCGACGGCCACCCCCCACGCTCACCTGTCCCGCCTGGAGCGCGAGCTCCACCGCCACCTCCAGGCACCCTTCCCAGGGGTCTTCTCCGCCGGCGGCCGCTTTGCCTAACCCTCGCTGCCCGCTGGGGTTCATGATTACCGCCGCTCCTCCCGCGTTTGCGAGGATCTCCGCGGAAATAGGAAGGGGGGGGGAGGGAATTGGTGCGGCAAGTCCTTGAACTTTCTCCGGCGCTCCGGGGGCTTCCCTCGCTCGGGCTAAGGAGGGGCTGTTTACTTCAGCCCTGCGGGGCGCCTCCTCCGCACTGCTGAAGCCTGCCCGCCCCCCGCGCCGCTCTTCCTTCCTGCGCCGCCGCCACCACTAGCCCTCGCTGCCCTCTCGCCTTCCCCGAGGCACCTCGGTCGCCGGTACAGAGGAAGGCGGGAGAGGCTCCACTGACACAGAGCCCGCCTTCCTCAGCCGACTGGCCATGCTTTCCGCCCGTCTAGAGGAGAAACCGCCTCTCTCCGCGCCCAGCGCTCTCGCTGACACCTAATTTTAGGACAGTGTTTCTCAACCTTGACAATTTTAAGGCATGTGGACTTCAACTCCCAGAATTCCACAGCCAGCGTTGCTGGCTGTGGAATTCTGGGAGTTGAAGTCCACATGCCTTAAAATTGTCAAGGTTGAGAAACACTGTCTTAGGACATGGCGCTCAGGCTGGTTCCTCACGTAGCTAGCGAATCACGGGCCCGGGTGGGCGTTTCTAGGGCAATAGGATGTGATTCACAGGAAGTTCCTCGCTTCTTCTTTTTTTTTTTTTNTTTTTTTTTTTTTTTTTGCAAGACATCTTCGGAGGCTGGCAATGCAGTTCTTGAAAGTTCGCATGTCTCCCGCTCGTCAAGTTAGTCTGGGGTTCTTGTCGTCAAAAGACGTTTCGTTTCCGTTATTTTTGATTGCAGAAATTAATATCCACCCTTTTCAATACAAATTCCCCGCCTCAGGGAAACTGCGTAAGACCAACTGACAGCTAAAAAGCGAATTCAGGTTTTCCAAATGTAGGCTTTTTGCTAAAATGATGCAATTATGATGCTATTGCATTTTTTACTGAGGGGTAAGATAATATTTCTCTCGATGAAACTATGAACCTTATTTTTTCTCCAAGAATGTTCTTTCTAAAAAGAACCAAGAAAGTTAAGGCTCCTCTCCCGCCGTTCTGTGGTTGGTCAGATCCTCCAGACAAAATCGGCTTATAGGACATTTATCCAGCGCGCAGAAAAGATTTTGAGTTCAACGAGCACGTGGCGAGTCTTTTACTATCTTAAATTAATTTTAAATTAATTAAAACTAGTGAATGGTAAGCAAATAAACTGTAATGTCAATGTTAGTTGGAATACTGATTTACTTCTTTTTCATATTTTAAACGAATTTATTACAAATAATGACCATCCACACAGAAAAAGTGTCAAGTTGGAAGTAAATCTGCCCTTCCTCTATAACAGTGGTTCTCAACCTTTTTAATGCCGCGACCCCAACCGGTCGTAAGTCAAGGACTAAACCGGTCGTAAGTCGAGGACTACCCAACCGGTCATAAGTCGAGGACTTTCCCTGCCCGGGAGCGCCGCACATGCGTGGTTCCGCCCCCTGCGCCGGCCGAGGCGTAGCTGGCAAGCGGCAGAGACGGAGCAGGCCGACCACCAGCTGGCCCAGCCCAAGGGAGGTAAGGCACCCACTGGAAAAGGGGGAAAAAAATGGCGGACAAAAAAAATGGCGGACAAAAACAATGGCAGACAGCCTTGCTTGGCGACCCCCATGAAATGGTCGATCGACCCCAAATGGGGTCCCGACCCACAGGTTGAGAACCACTGCTCTATAAAGAGAAAACAAATTTCTAGGAACTGGTCCTGTTGGATAATCTAATACTGTTATAAGTTGAGGACTACTTGTACAAATGATTTTCCTTCCCAGAGGTGTGGATGGGTGTACTTTGGAAAGACGATTTCCTTTTAATACAAGTTGTGGAAGTGCATTAGCACTAACTACACTATGAGAACTTTTTTTCAATGTATTTGTAAGCTTTTTTCTTACAGTGATTAGTCTGAAGAGTTTTCTTCTTTTTATTTTAAAGGAGGATGTAATACATTCCTCACCATTCAGTTATAACTGAAGAAGCTTCTTGGATGAGAAGTGAAATGTTTTCAAAGAAATAAAAACAAAGTCCAGTCGCGTTTTGGAAAAAACATCTTTGGAGCAACCACGAGCTGGATGATTGAGAATCTCCATAGATGACAGAGTATAATGTTGGTCTTGAAATCACATGCTGAAAGTTGCACTGAGAATTACAAGTTTTATCAAAGGTTCTTATAAATGCTAAGTACAGTTTTAAAAAAGATTCTAAATATTGTTTATAAAATAGGAATATGAATTATAGACAAAGCTATATATTCATTCCATTTTTTGCTGTACTTTTGTTTATTTCAGAGTTAATTGTGTTTTTTTCAAATACTAGGCAGAGCCTTTTTATGTTCCTGGTGACTACATGGACATATCTCTGAAGTATTCGGTATGTTCACCACCTTGAGTTACTTATAAAAAGTAATAAAGGCAGCATAAAAGTATAGTAAATAAATAATAATAAATAAGCGGTTTGTGCCCGATTTCTTCCAATATGTTTTTTGACTTTCCAGTCTAGCCTATAGCTGTAGAATTTCCTGATTATCTCTTATTCAAATATACCTGGTCTGACTCTAATTAGTTTTTTCCAAATATGCCAAGGTCTGCTAAATGCTATCATTTGCTCATATCTTTCATAGAGTTCAGGCATTTGATTTCTCAATGACAGCATATTCCATATTTAAACAACCTTAGCTATTTCCAAGTAGGGCTTTTATTATGCAATTATTCTGTCTCACTTCCAAATTTTACAAAGCCCCATACAGTACTGTAGTCATGTGTAACCCTCTTTTGTTTTCCCACTGCAGAAAATCTACACAATGAACATATATTCTACCCCTTCTAGATTATTTTCAATTATTGCACATCTTTGCTACCGAAAGACTTTCATTTGCATGCTACTGATTTTTAAAGGGATTCTACTCTGACTTAAGGAGAACCAGTTTGGTGTAGTGGTTAAGGCTTCAGGCTAGCAACTGGGAGACTGTAAGTTCTAGTTCCACCTTAGGCACAAAGCTTGCTGGATGAACGAGTCAATCACTTTCTGTCAACCCTAGGAAGGAGGCAATGACAAATCATTTCTGCAAAAAAAAACTTGTCAAGAAAATTGAAGGGACTTGTCCAGGAAGTCTCTGAGAATTGGACATGATTGAACAGGAGGAAAAAGAACTGCTGGGTTAATACTAAGGTTTCTAGAGACAGATCATCCTCCATGGAAAACATTTTTGAAATCTTCCAAATAGGCTTTTGGGTGCAATTCAAGTTACTGGTTATCATCCATAAAGTCCTACATTGCATAGGACCAGGTTATTTGCAAAACTACCTGCTTCTGGGGGTATATGCCTATCCCATATATTCCAGTAAATAGGGCACATTCTGGATTTCTTTATTGAAAGAATTCCATTATTATGAAACTCAGGAAGTACGCCTTCTGTGTAGTGGTACCTGCCCTTTGGAACAACCTCCGCTCTTCCAATTCTACAGGCCTTTAGGAATGCTGTTCAAACTTAGTTCTTTCCCCAGCTTTGGGGTCAGGTTGAGCTGTAGAAGTTTTCAATTCTGTTCACCATTTTATTTTTTAATGAGTAGTAATAAATTATTATGTGTTAATTAGGATTTCGGGGTGGATGTTTTAGTATCCTTCCCAGGCTCAAATAGTTACAATTGGGCAGCCATATAAATGCTAAATAGATAGATTTCTGAGAGTTTTGAAAAATTACAAAGCTGTTTCTAAAGTTCTTAAACTCTACTAATCCATTCTTAGTGAAATGAAATGGAGAAAATGGGACAACAGTGAATTTTCTCAAAAGTGTCTATCCTGACAAAAAAAAAAATCCCAAGAGTCACAGCATAATTTTGTAAGAATTGCAAAACTATATGAGAAATTTGCAAGCCCTTATTGTCTTGGCAGAAGTGTTCATCAGTCATAGTCCATCAGAAAAAGCACTGGGTAAAAATAAGATTTTCAGGAGAATAGCAAGGTGGAGTTGCTCATTTCAAGAAAGCCATTAATCTTCAATCAATTCCTGCTAGAAAACTCAAGCAGTTTACCCTAGAGGAATATGTGAAATTACAGGAAGCTGTTGGTTGCAGTTACTGTAACTAAAGAAAATGCAACCAGCTGCTGAATCTAATGGCCAATTGGAGATTTTCAGTCATCCAAGTCATAGTTGTCTCAAAAGTACCGTACTTTTTCAAAAGGAAACTGGACTGATATTTTTCCCGGAGGAAGAAGATGTTTCACTTCTCATCCAAGAAGCTTTCTCGGTTCTGGCAGGATAGTGGGGGCGATGGAAGGATTAATTCTGATAGGATGGGTGGGGGTGTTGGAAGGATCATCTTTCTTTGTAGTCATCTGGTTATTAGCACTCTCTCTGAGAGTCACCAGACCAGACCAGATGAATGCAAAGAAAGATGATCCTTCCAACTCTCCCTCAGAACTGTCAGAACTAATCCTTCCATCGCCCCCACTATCCTGCCAGAACCAATGACGCTTTTTGGATGAGAAGCAAAACATCTTCCTCCTGAGGGGGGGAAAAACAGTTTAGTTGTCTTTTGAAGAAGCACCTTTGAGACTAAGGGGCAATTATTGTTTCACACTATCACATTGCATGGATGGCTTGGTTCATTACATAAGTGAAACAAATATCAAATATGTGTTATTTGGCCACTCAAAGTCCTTTTGTACACTCACTGGTAGAACTCAGATACATAGCTGATTTAAAGTGCCTGCTTGGAGCCCAAAATAGTAGTCCTCTCCCCAAACAAATCAATAGGCTGAAGTCACCTGTTGACAAACAAGGGTATGGAGCACTGGAGGCTCCAGATAGGAAGGAGGCTTCATACTTTGTTTTTCTTCATACTGTCTCTTTCAAAGGAAAGAAAGAATACTGCAATCCATGGAAGTTTATGCCATAATCCATGTAATAATGTTTATGGTACCATGTTTTTTTGTTGTGCAACAGACTAAGATTTTTTTCCTTCTGGATAGTTTAAGAATTGATAATTGCATTGTAAATTGGAAAAACGGGAGAATTCATACAGTGACTTGCTAAAAAAAGACAGCTGAAGAATAAGGAATAGATCAGGTTCTCTAAGAAAAACAGTTCCTTTCCTTTGACATCAAAAGGGGATACATCTGAATGTAAGTCACAACTGACAGTCTTAATATATAAGTACATTCCAGTTACAGCATGCAGTCTTTAGTTTCTTTGTTTCAGACAGAGCATTAGAGGTGAAAAATCAGCATTTTGTATTTTGCATGGAAGAAAAAAAGGAAGGCAATGAGTATGTGTTCAAGCATGTACTAGCTTCTCTGTAATCTTTACAATTGGTGTTTAAATTAAGAATAACTTGGCCTGCAAACTATTTCAACACTCCTGTCAAAGTATTCCAAAGTCAGAACACTAAGCAAATGCTTAATCATAAAAGCAGAATGGAAGTAGGGAAGCAGGATTTGCTGCTCTTTTCCTGTGAAGAAAAAAATCCAATACAAACAATGGGAGTTGCTCTCCTATGTAAAGTCTATAGATAAATTTCAAGATCCATTAGGTTTTGTAGTTTGACTAGTATGAGTTTTTTCTATTTTGAGCTAGAATGAAGACAATACCCATACACTTGTTTTTTTAAAAAAAACATTCATTGTATTCCTCTCTAGCATTATGCCTGACGTAGAATGGAAGCAAACAAAAACTGCAAACTGTTAGCTAGCACAATTTTAGTTTAATTAGCAAATATGACCAGCAAATATAGTTATTCAGAATATTTACCTGTTCCCCCCCCCCCCATAAACTGCTTAAAATGATGAAAAGGGGTTTTGGCATATTTAACGGTGAGGGCCACACATATACATAAGCAATCTTGACACTACCCAACTATTTTTAGAAGGTTTGGAATGAAGTGAAATTAGGTTCAGCTCTTTTCTTTGCAAATCATTTTAAAATAATTGCTTTTGTCTTGCTAATAGCAATACAACAATCCTAAGCAGATCACTTAGTCCTTTTCAACCCTAACCCTTTCTCTAAAATATTTGATTAACAATGCTCTTCAGTGTGCCATATAAGCCAGCTGCAAATATGCTTTCATTAAATTGTTTTGTATTAACAGGACTAAATTTTCATGAGTTATAGTGTTACTGAAATCAAATGCAGAACTTTGGGCAGAAAGACAAGATATAAATAAAATCAGTCTAGCACCCAATTCAATAAAGTGTGCAAGAGGTCTCTCTATATTTGTAGTAAGTGACTATTATAAAGAGCTGCTTCCCCTCCTCCAATAACCCCACTATTGGCACGTCTACATAATTTCACTGTGAAACGGTAAAAAAGAAAAAAAAATGCAATACTGGGACTGTGTTTCTTGCTAATTGCCAAGGAATCTCATGAATTAAGTAGTTCTTCCTTCAACTGTCCAATGAAGCAGCACAAAAAAGTGCTTTAGCCAATACCCTATTACTATATCTCTTTTGTTTTGATGTGTGGAAAAATCTTGTCCCTAAAGCAGGTGATGGGCAAAATTAACCCTCAGGTACTTTTAATTCAAGAAGGCACAGGGGAAATTCAATGAGCTAGGACGGGTAGGCAACCTTGGCTCTTTTATGACATTGCTGGCTCAGGAATTCTGGGAGTTGAAGTCCACGAGTCATAAAAGAGCCAAGGTTGCCTACCCCTGAGCTAGGACAAAGTGATTTTGACTGCCACCTTACAGCACCAATGAAACTATCTCAGTGCTATGTTTGCAATGTTTTCTCTAAATGTTTCAGTGTTTATGTTTGTAGTGTTTTCTTTGGAAGAGTCACTGAAATTAACTCAGTTAAAAAGATTCCCTCAAGACCGTAAATTGGGCATGATGCCAATCCAGATCAGCAGCCTCTGTATGGAAGGGGTTTAACTGAAGGACTAAAATGATTGTGCAGCAACCTCCATGTAAGCTCTTCTGTCCTTGAACAAAAAAACAGATTTCAGTCTTCGCTGCCATCTAGTGATCACCTGGTTTTTGGCAGCCCAGATTGGTAGCTCTGTCTTGAAAGATAGCATCTATTTGACCCCCTTTAAATTCAGAAAAGGATCAAATAATATTTCACACAACAGAGCAAGACTTCTCGTGATTCATGACATTGGAGTTGGAATCCCTCCAACAAGGATGGCCAGCTTTTGGGGGCACCAGCAGATGTGATCAGAACTTTGAGAGCATGTAGGAACATTCACAAAATGTTTAGCTTTGTGCAATCACAAAATGTATGCCAGGATGAATGTTGCCAGTTCCAAAACTTAAATAATATAGGACAAAGATAAAGAATTACATATTCCTTTGCAACTAAATCTTACCTTAAACAAGTTGATAAGGGCATATAATTATTCAAGACGTTACTACTTAGCTTCTGACAGAATAAAATCTTTTCTTCTTATCTTTCCTTTGACTGATTCCATCTTTTCAGGGCTTAAGCAAGCAGTTCATGGGAATTACAAATGTATCAGGCTCCCAAACCCAGTTTTAGTTGTTTTTTTTTAAATGCTACAATCAGCTTTTTTTAGACAGCTGGGGTAGTGGCAGTCGGAATTCTTTATGGAATTGGCCTTTTTAATCTTAATCAAAATCAACGTTAGGTTTTTACATTTTTCTAGACAAGCTTATATTTAAATGTAAAATCGAGTACCATAGCATAAAAATATTACCTAAAATTTACACATACACATTCCATAAAGGTTACCATCACATGACTTCAACTATCTTTGAATAGAAAAACGTAATTTCGACTCTTTTAAGAACCTGTTTCTTACATCACCCATTAACCCAGAAGGGAGGAGATGCCGCCGATTCGGCATCCCGTCACCATGGGAACCACGGAGCGGAAGTTCTGGAAAAGGGACCTGATCCTATAGTCGCGTTATTATGGCGTCATTAAATACTTTCCGTAAACAAACGTAGGTTTACTTTTTCACCGCCGAAAATTGCGTGCGCGTGGGAACAAACCTGCTAGGGCGAGAGCTTCCTTATTCGGATATACTAACGCCGATTTAATCCGTGTGGTGTATCTTTGCCGGCTACTAGTTAACATTTCCCCCCCGCCCTCAGCTTTGAAGAAGAAACACTTTAGCTAATGAATTCGGGACAGGCGGGGTAGCGGACGCCGCACTCGCGGGGGCTTTTTGACCGTTGCTGGGCATTTTATCGGACCGCTGGGAAACCCCGCGGCTGGCCCCGAGCTGCTTCTGCCCCTTTCTCCTTTGTCGGGCCGGTCTCTTTCTGGAGGGGGCGCTGCCTTGAACCTGCTCCCGCATGTTTGGCCTCTGCTCAGTGTGGGGGGCCATGGAAGGGAAGCGGATGGCGCTGCCCTCCGTTCATAGATGCGTCCAAGTGAGTGACGAAGAGCAGCTCGCTGTGGCGGCTCGGAGCAGCTGAGTTTCCCTCCACCTGAGCCCCCCCCAGAGGGTTGGATTGGCTCAGGAATTCTGGGAGTTGAAGTCCACGAGTCATAAAAGAGCCAAGGTTGCCTTACCCCTGTCCTAATCCAACACTGTTTTGGATGGAAAAGGCGGGAGCTGCAGGGCGGGGTTTCTCACACTGGGTAACTTCGAGGCAAGTGGGAAATTGCGAGGAGGGTTGAAGTCCACGTGTCCCAAAATTGCCAAGTTTGAGAAACAAGTTAGATATAGGGCATCACTTCTGGGAGAGAGCGAGAGAGAAAGAGGCGAGCTGTGGGAAGATGGTTGCTTTGGCTCCTGGGTGTTTCCCGGCTGCCCAGAAATTCCTGTGTATCCATATTATTCTGCAGATCCTACGTCTGCAGATCGCGTAAGGCGCTCCGTTTTAGCGCTAAACCAGTGGTTCTCAACCTGTGGGTCGGGACCCCATTTGGGGTCAATCGACCATTTCACGGGGGTCGCCAAGCAAGGCTGTCCACCATTTTTTTTGTCCGCCTTTTTTCCCCCTTTTCCGGTGGGTGCCTTACCTCCCTTGGGCTGGGCCAGCTGGTGGTCGGCCTGTTCCGTCTCTGCCGCTTGCCAGCTACGCCTCGGCCGGCGCAGGGGGCAGAACCACGCATGTGCGGGGCTCCCGGGCAGGGAAAGTCCTCGACTTACGACCGGTTGGGTAGTCCTCGACTTACGACCGGTTTAGTCCTCGACTTACGACCGGTTTAGTCCTCGACTTACGACCAGTTTAGTCCTCGACTTACGACCGGTTTAGTCCTCGACTTACGACCAGTTTAGTCCTCGACTTACGACCGGTTGGGGTCGCAGCATTAAAAAGGTTGAGAACCACTGCGCTAAACGTTTGGCATCGCTCTTCAAAGAACCAAGAGGCAATTAGATAAAAAAACTAGGTATTTTTCCTCCTGAAGGAAACGTACTTTAATTTTTTTCTGATGATAAATCGGGCTGGGAATGTCATGTTGGGGAACGAAAGCAGTATAGCTTTCTTTTTTTCCCCATATCAGGAGTGCTTGGCCCTTTGGATAGCTGCGTGATTAGTAGGAAGGTATCTTTAGTCTTCTCCATCAGTCTCCCTCCCCCAATGGTAAATTTTATAGCTATTAAAAATGTGTCTATTCTCGCCCTTAAAATTTTTACTCCTAGTAAAAATTACTTCCAATGCAAATCAGTCTAGAAAATGTTTTAAAATGACATTTTTTCTTGCAGTTCCCTGCAATAGTAAGAGAGAGATTTTGAAAGACCTAAATCTCCCAAAATTTATGCGTGCTCAAATTAAATGGCTGCACAGTTGATATATATATTATTTAGGATGCAGGAATATTTCTTAATGGAAAATCAGTAGTAAAAATGGTATATAAGGAAAATATGTGTGTAGTAAAAGGTTAGAGCTGGAAGGGGCTGCTTTTTCACTGCTAGTCTGAGAAACATTAATTAAATATTACAGAATACAGGCTTTGGAAAGGTCAGAATGCTGCAGTTTACACTTTATGATATGTGAGTAGAGAATTGAAAGTGGAATGAATTTAAAATTAGCAAAGTTTCGATAAAATGGCTGACAGATGATGTAGTGATTGAAAAGTGGGAATAAAGTGAAAAACAAAATGGCAGTGTTATATGATATGTGCCAGTTTCTGCAGATGACTTACAACATGCTTGTCACTTTAATAATCAAATTAGTGTACATATTGATGTCAGAATTAGTAATAAAAATACCTCTTGGGGGAAAACTATTAATTGTGTTTGATAATTTTATAAGATAGGATCATTTCAGTTTTTGGAGTTTTGAAAGTATATGTAGGTCGGGTTCTTTAAGGTGCTTGACTAAAACAAAGGCAGCCTTAGAAAATGAATATGGGTTATTTCATACTACGAATGTTACTGTATTACATTAAATAACCTGCATTTGCTTGTATGCTTATTAATTAAATTTATATGTCACCCATCTCTCCAATAAGTCAACTCTTTGTTTTTGAACACAAGAAAAATTATCTCATTTTTCCAGCTCAATCAAGAAAATCAGCTGCTCCTTAAAAAGCTGAGGCATGTACGCCTAAAAAACAAGCAGCTGGAATATGATGTAGTGCAGCTGCATGATAAACTACGTGAGCAAAACAAGTGCTTGCCTGCCTGTGTCACAAGGAAAGAGTAAGAATGGCTATACTCCAAGCACCTGCCTCTTAAGAATCTAAGACAGGGGTGTCAAACTCACAACATCATGTGATGTGTCGCGATGTATCGTGACTTTTTTTCCATTGCCGGCAATAGGGTGGGTGCGGTTTCGGCATGACACATCTGGCCCACGGGCTGGCAGTTTGACACCCTGATCTAAGATTTCACTTAGTACTCTAATATGTATAAAGATTTAGCTTCTCATCTGTCGGTTTCTTCATTAAAGCAATATTTGATTCAAACTTACATAGAATCATTGATGAATGAGTTTAAATTGAGGGTCATGCCACACACTTCTAGACATTCTTTCCTAAAGTTTATTATTCACATAGAAATATAATGATTAAACATTAAGATAAATATCTGTATCATTATCCAACACAATATTTTAGCTTAACATACTAACTTTTGATAGATTCAATTGGTCTTGTGAATAATTAATATTTGTAAAGGTTGTAGCCCCAATTTTTGAAAGATGTTGGCCTGCTGTAATTAGGACATAGCATGGCATTTGCAAGACTGGATTAGTACTTTTGTTATTTTAATGAAAGGCTCTTTCATTAAAGGATGAAAGGATTCTTGGTTTTTAGGGAAATATAGGCAAATGGAAGTGGGTTCTTTGCCTGACTTGGTGGGAAATTCTTTATGTCCAATAAATAGATCTTACTGGATTTAAGAATGTTTACTTCCAGAAAGATAAACATGGGTTTATAGAATTAAATGGTTATGTATGAGAATTGACATTACAGTAGTTTGAGAAATTGGCAGAGGCTTCGTAACCAATGTATAAAATACTTAAATTGGAAAATATGAATTTTAAACTAGCCTTCCCAAATATCTTGCTTCACAACTCTAATCGCCTTAGTGCAGAATAGCCATAGGCATAGGATGCCCAAGCATAATGGGAATGTAGTCATCACACAACCCGAGATTATCAATTTAGAGACTACTATGTACTTCAATTTATGATCACATAACTATCAGTATCCATGTTTTTTTCTTCTGAATGTATGTTTTTTTATATATAGATGGTATTTATCTTCTTTGAGATTAAAAAGAGATTTGAGATTTTAGTATTCTTTCTCAACTTTATTGGATTTTTAGGAAGGTTAGATTAAAAACCCCATTACATCAATAATATTCAATATGAAGAGTTTTTTTTTTATTTAATTGGCTGTTTATTTTAGTGTACAGATTCAAACAGAGTTTCACTTATACCATAAAGGTGATGGCGTTCATCACAAGGAACACGAAGTAGTAAAGGAACATGCCAGGTGAGTTTTGGAACCCTAGTCAAACATACATCTTAGCAAATAATTTGGATTCTTGGTCAACAATACAAACAAAAGCCTTTAACCACTCTTTATACATTTATCCATAAATATACAGATCCATCTTTGAGTTATTTTCTGATCAGTGTTGAAATATTTGTTAACGTCCATTATTCTGTTATTTGAGTGTATAAAAATGTTCTGCTAGTTCCCCCTTCTATAACAGATGATAGAACAAAAGTTATATCTGTGGGGTATGTTTTTAGTTACATATTGCCAAATAGAAAGCTTCCAAGAAGAGTCATCTACACAGTTATAAAGTTTTATACTAAAACACTACTATATTACTGATAAAATGCTCACTTTTTTCAAAAAAATATCCCTTGATATTTTATTGGTCCATTGCTGGACCAGTGGACTGCAGCAGATGCATGATTTTTTTAATTTCTCCCAATGGGACACCAGTGGGCTCATTATACCCCCCACTCCATTGCTTGTGCAGTGGACATGAGAGGAAACGAAACACATGGATATGCAACAGTCCAGTGATCCCCAACCCGGTCTGTGACTTGTTAGGAACTGGGCCAACACAGCTGGAGGTGACCGGCAGGCAAGCAAGCGAAGCTTCATCTGTGTTTGCAGCTGCTCCCCAGCGCTAGCGTCACCACCTCAGCTCCATCTCGGATCATCATGCATGAGATTCTCATAGAAGCATGAGCCCTACTGTAAACTGTGTGTGTGAAGGATCTAGGTTGTACACTCCTCCTCCCCCTCCTGGTGTATGGAAAAATTGTCTACCAAGAAACCGGTCCCCAGTGCCACAAAGGTTGGGGACTGCTGCAACAGTCCACTGAAGGAAAAGATGTTGAAGGACACAGCACAACATGTCAAGCACAAGGGGGTCCACAATGGGGATCCTACACAGAACCTCTGTTAATTGGAAGCAACCAATGTGTGGTGAATTGTGCAGTATAGATTACTGATATTGAAGGAAGATGATCCCAGGCATTCAGAGACTTGTCCATATATATGAGAGTGATTGGTGCTTGCAATTCTTGCATTACATGAGAGAGGTGTTAAAGCAGGAAACTCTACCAGTTGGAGGCTGTGGTGAGCACAGTCTCTAGACCTGTGCTCACAGGTAGGCCCTTTGAAGCTCCGCCCCCTGACCCTTCCTCCCTCCCCTTGCCCTGTTACATAGGGATACATAGAGTTATACAAGATACATAGAGTTATACAAGACACATAGAGTTATACAAGGTTAAATGGATCTATGATCCAGAACACTGTGGCTAAAACAGATAAATAGCTTCCATTCTTTTTCAGTGAACGTTTGTATAGATATTCATATTTGGAAGACTAACGATTCTTCTACTTTTGCTTCCAGAGTACTTCAGTTGTATAATGAACTGAAGAAAAGGTACAATAAAGAAGTCAAAACAAATCAAAGACAAAATGAAACAGTTGCAATGCTGTCTGTAAGCTTTAATCATTTGATCACTTTGACATAAACTAAAAAAAAATGAAATGTGTTTGGTATATATAGAATGCTGTATTTTTGTATGTTTCATAAGCATATTGCAAGATACATTTACTGGTCTGTTTTTCATTCAATTGTGGTTTTCTAATAAATTGTCACATGTATCTCTGTCCATCACTTCTGTTAAAGTTAAATGACAACGTCAAGGAATATCTGCCTTCAGACAGTGTTTATGGCATTGTGTTCTTGAATTATTTCATAATTCTTTCATATACTGTCAGAACATGATAAACTTTCCCTTTGTAAGTTAACATGATAATTGTTTGGATTGACCTGATATAGGATAATTTAATTTGGCCTTTTGTTTTTATGATACATGTCTTATTTTTAAGTGCTGCCATCTGCTCCAAGCCCCTGGGAAGTAAGGCAAATAGGTAGTTAAGATAGAGAAATGGGTTTTTGCAAGCAGTTCTTTATATGCCCTTGAACCTAACTGCAGGACAAATATGCCTTGTAACATCTTTTTTTCTACCATCTTGCCATGCTGTTGCTTTAATCTCATATCCAGCCCATGAGTGAAGCAGCCTTATAATGCTTGGCATCTGCAACAATATATTAGTCGCATTTATCATTGTTTAGATAGGACAATGACTCTTTAAATCACATATTTATTTCTAACCTCTAGTGCAGGTTTTTTAAAAAGTAATTTTGAATTGATGTCCCAATTGCCCTTCCCAATATGTTTAAGAATGTGTTAATTTTCTTGTTCTTTAAAATTGTTCAACTATTTAATCACAGGGTAAAATTAATAATCTGGAACACCAACTTCATTTAGCAAACCAAAAGATAAATGCCTTGGAATATAAAAAAAAGGACAAATTTGTTCCAATTCAGAGAAGAATGTCATCTGACAAATGTATGTGCAAAAAGAAGGGAAGCTGTTCCTGCAAATATTTAGGTAATACTTTTTTTCTCATATATCTGCTTCATTGTCTCTTGATCTCATGTGTTACCTTTTGGCATATTCTTATCTATGACTGAATGAAGATTAGAAGTTTCTAATGTTTGCAACACAGGGCAGTTTTGTCTTTTATGTGAATGTAGAAAATGTTGGTTTACAAAAATGGTTTGTTTACAAACATATTCAAAATAGAATGAATTTGTAGAAATGGACAGACTTACATTGAAAATGAAGAGAAATGGACAGATTTACATTGAAAATGAAGGAGAAAGAAGATTCAGAATACTTTAGAACATGGGATACATTTTATCAATGGCTAGAAAAACGAGGTAGAGAGAAAGGAGTTTAACATGTATTAGTAAGCTAAATATTGGAACCCAGACAACATGTAGCTATTAAAATATT